GACGGCCAATAGGCCTCGCACCACTCGCAATTCCCATCATAGGGGGCTGCGTCGGCTCCCGCCCCCACCTACAATTTGCCATGAATGGGCACCAGAGGAAGCCTGGCCCCCCCTATGGTCCCTCGGCCAACGAAAACGGCCGCAGGGGGGACCCGATCATACTTCCACCAACCCCCACACCTATCATGACTGCGTCCATTGCAATTTCCATCCACGCGGAGTTCCTCTTCTCGCCCCCCGCCTCCTTCCTCCCTCCTCCTCTCTCCTCATCCTCCCCCCTTCCTCCCTCCCCTTCCTTCCCATTTTCCTCCGCAGCGGCGCCAGGGACGGCGACAACGCCGAGGCGGACAACGACCGGCGGCAGCGACGGCGGCGGCGGCGATGGAGACGCCCGCGAACGCGCGCCCGAAATCCGCTGCAAAGCTGCCCCTGGACCGCTCCCGAGGTGCACTCTGGATGAAACTCAGAATCCCGGATCTCAAACCCTTACGGCGCCCGAACGAAGCTTTGCAAGGTCCGAGGTCGGGGAAAAACGACAGCGCTTAGCTGCCCCGAGACGCAACACGCAACACGCAGCGTATGATACGAAGCTCAACAACACGTACACAAGCAACGCAGGTCTGACACGATACGTTCGCCAAAACGTGGGCCAATGCGCTGAGCCAACACGCAACGTATTGACACGGACGGTTTGAGCACGGCACGTGCTGCGTATGAAAACCGGCGTATCGAGGCAGCTAAGCGACGGCGGTGGCGACGACGGCGACGACGACGACTCGGGTGCGCCGGATCGGAGGGGCCAGGACGAGGGGGCTGAGCGCACCGCGGCCCGAGGTGGCAGGTGCGCGGGCGAGAGGGGGGGGGGGCCAGGGACGTGTGGAACGAAGGCCCTTCCACCAGGGCAGCTTCAAGCCCCTGGCCACGAACTCGGCATACCCCCGGTGCTCAACACCCCACCTCCCCAGACATGATCGCGGCGTTGAAAAATCACGACTGGAGGTGTTTCGCTATTTTCGACCCCTGGGGGCCCTCGCTGGGCCCGGGGAGCGTCAAAAAACGACGCAGGGTGACAAACCGGCCCAAAGGAATGGGTTGGGACTTCCGGTGACGCCGTACTGAAAAAATCAGGACGTCGCATGTCTGGGCCTTGGGCGCCCCCGGCCAACGAACGACGATGGCGGCGACAGCCCGGGAAACATGGCCTCCAGGAAGCTCGCGGGCGCCGATGCCGACGGAGCGTCGGGGGGGTCATCCGCGCCGCCGCCGCCGCCCTGGTGTGCTGGCACTCTGCGGCGGGTGGCCTGAGAGGGAAGACCAAAGGAACAAAGAGGAAGAGAGAGAAACAGATAAGAAGCGAGAGAGAGAGAGAGAAAGACAGAAAGACAAAGACAGACAGACAGACAGACAGACAGACAGACAGACAAACAGACAGACAGACAGACAGACAGACAGACAAACAGACAGAAAAACAGACAGACCGACCGACCCGACAGACAGACCGGACAGACTGACGGACAGAAAGTCAGACGGTATAACAGAAAGAAAGCCGACAAACAGGCAGACATAGAAACAGAGAGGGACAAGGGGGGAGGGAGGAGGAACGGGGGAAGGGAGGGGGGCGAGAAAAAGGAAACGAGGAGAAATATGCGGGAAAGGGCGGAGAAGACTGGAAAGGCATTTCGGGGCGGGGGATAAGAAGGGCAATGATGGAGCAAGGCGGGAAAGCGGGAAAATGTCGGGTGGCAGGGGGGGGTAAGAGGGGAAGGTTGAGGTTGAGCGCTTGGGATGCGGATCCACGCGACGGCGGCAGCAGCGAACCGGGCGAGGCAGAAGATGCCTTTGCAAAGATATGGATGAAAGCCCTGCGCTGGCAGTGGCCCGCCTAGAGGGCCCCCCCTTGGGCTTTCGAGCACAAGACATGGAGGGGTGCCCGTTACAGGAGGCTCTCTTCGAGCCCTTCTCCACGAAGCCCAAGACGGGGGACCCCCTGGTCCCCTATATGGGCGAGGGGGGGCCCTGGGCGAGGGGAGGACGACGAGGACACCTCGACGACACCACATTGATGACAAGGGGGAGGCGCTTGTCGGCGGGGGGGAACGTCTTTGAAGTTCGTTTCGCCCCGCTGGTTTCGCCGGCGCTGGTTTCGCCCCGCTGGTTTCGCCGGCGCTGGTTTCGCTGGCGCTGGTTTCGCCGGCGCTGGCTTCGCCCCGCTGGTTTCGCCCCGCTGGTTTTGCCGGCGGCTGGCTTCGCCGGCGAACATTTCGCCGACGCGAGCCCTAACTGGGGAAACCAAAAGGTACCGATACCGCTACTCCCCGGACCTCTCCCGGGGCGCGTCCTGACCAGGATTTCGAGGCGAATCCAGCGGTGGCGACGAGGGAAGCCCAGGAGGCCCCACAAGGGGAAAACGAAGAGAGGGGGCAGAAATCTGGGCACCTTCTCCTCCTCTGACTAACGGGCGGGTCGGGCTGGGCGGGCGGGCCCTGGCGGGCGGGTCGGGTCGGGCCGGGCGGGCGGGCCCTGACAACGGGCGGGGCGGGGCGGGCGGGCGGCGCGGGCGCGCGCGGGGGGGGGGGCGGGCTCTGCGCCCCCCTCGCGTGTCCGTCGCCGCCAGGCGGCGCCCCGAGATCCCAAACCGCCAGGTGACGAAGGAGCGCGAGGCCCCACGAGCGAGCGGCGTCGCTGCTCAGGGGAGGTTGATCTCTGTGGGGGGCCCTGAGAAAACTCACCCCGTTGGGCCGAACTTGGGTCTTGGGTAGCGACCTTCCCATGTGACAACATGTGTTTCACTTCGTTTGTTTTACTATGTTTACCCATTTGCCTGATAAGCTTCCGTGGCCCCACGGAAACGCCACTGAGATCAGCGTGGGGCCGCGGTAGCCCGCTAAGAATACAAAAAACAAGCAAATGTGTTTGCATTGGAAGAATGCAGAACGTAGACAACCTGTGGCTCTCGCGATTGTTGTTTGTTACGGACCCCCGCACATGAAATACTTATCGTATCAACCCCGAGAGCAAGATCTATATTTGTTGTGGCGACCCTCCAAAAGGATTGGGACCATGTGGATGTTTGTAAATGGTCGCCACAAATGCAGTCCGTGTGCAACAGCTTGTAAAACAATTATTTGCGTGGCTGTCTTCCCAAACGATTGCATGTGCGGGGCATTTGCAACCGCCTCCTCACTTAAGATCCTCCTGTCGCGGCATACACGTGAGATGCCACTTTCGCAACACTGCCACAGCATGATATTTTGAACCTGCTGCTACAAAAGGATGTGAATGTTGGAGTCGACTGTAGGAACCCCATACTTGAAATATTTCCGCAAGGTCGCAACGAAAAAAATCCTTGTGTAAAGAATGCGACGAAACAGGTATCCAATTGCGGCGGCCATTGCAGAGATACTACAATTGAAATACTTGTGGGAGATCGCCACAAAATGAATATGTTGCAATGGCTGCTGCAAACTAAATTCAAATATGGGGACCTGCGCCATAAACGTTGCGAGAGACACCAATTGTCAGAGCGTTGTTCCCGTGTTCTGTTCAATATGGAGCCAATGATTCCTGTGGTGTGTCATGCGTTTGTTCCAGTGTTCTTCTCCACCAGTATTGAGCTCAAGGCGCCGCCGCTGCAGATCCCCCGCGTTTGAAATCCTTCTGCAAAGCCGCCGCAAACGAAACCTGCGCGCGCGAGCCGCTACAAGAGGATTTGGCGGAGGCCGCGGCAGATCCATCACACTTAGAATTTTGTTGTAATGTCGCCGCGAAGTGAATACATGTGTAAAATGCGCTGGGCATGAACTCAAATGTGGTGGGTCGGCATGTTTGAATTCCTTTTTTTGCACCGACCATACATGGTATCCTTCTGTAAGAACGTCACACATGTCATCACACGCTACATGAGGAAACATAAAAACGGGCTGCAATCGCACCAACAGCTGAAATGCGACGGGGGGTGATGTTTGGTTGGGGCGACTAGAGGAACGTAAGAAAATGATGCGAAGGAGATTCACAAAGTCATGCAACATCAGATGAACAACAACAACTCGCTTAATGATGAGAAGCATGATGAAGACAAGTCTGGTGGCAAAACGGAAAGAAGACACGTCGTGCCGATCACGAAACAAACCGAAATATCATCACATTCATTGGATCATACAAACAGCGGGTCGGGTCAGACGAGTAGGGGGCTGAACTCTGTGACGATGCATGCCCCTTGCATTCCGTTCCATGGGATAGATCCTACCTCCAAAAGTTTTTACAATCACAATCCATTGTACTTGCCCTGTCAATAAGTATAACGGTTGGTATCAACCCGCCCGGGCCCAGAGCAAGGTGCACGCCCATCGCTGGGCAAAACACTTAGGCACTGCGCGCCGAGTTATCAGCCTCCGTGTTGTGGGTAGGGGGTGGCCAGCCCATGTCCAGAACAAACAGTTGCATGTCCTTGGGGCCAAGATGCTACGGCATTGCACGCTGAGCTGCACGCATCTGTAGTGTCGGCAAGGGCCTAGCCGCACGAGCTCAAAACAAAGAGCACCTCCCCAGAGCTAGACATGACAGCATTGCGCGGTGAGTTCTGGGACTCCACTCTGAACCTCGCCTTGTCTGCGCACCTGGATTGTTCCCCTGCTTGGGCGGTAACAACTCCTCCAATGTCGTTGGCGTCTGTCCTTGCCCCGCCGCCTCTGGCATGGCGAGCGAAACTCCGAAATTGACCAGCTTCGTCTCGCCTAGATCCACCGAGCCGTAGTGCACCCACCCCGATGTGTCGTCGGCCTTCAATTCTGGCTTCTCCTATCCTGGCGGCAAAAAATCTGGCTGCGGGGGGGGGGGCTCCTCCTGTTCCTTGCGCTTGCCCGCGAGCTGCATGCAGTAGTCGATCCACTCGGTCTCGTCATTTGGCTGCCATCCGTAGTGCTCCCATGTTGACGAGTCGTCTGCCTTCGACCTTGGCTTCTCGGTCTGGATCTTGAACGCGGGCATGCTTTCGACGCTCTGGTTTGTGAGGTACTCCTTCTGGCTCGGCAACTGCAGTTTCCTGTCTTCATGTGTTTGTTTGTCGTCGAGCAGTCCGCACATGTTGGCCAGGTCACCGATCGCCTCCTCAGTGGTCTCCAGCTGGCCTTTAAGCAAGAAAGAAATGTCTACTCTTGTCGTACCATCCCAAATCTTAGACGCGACATCCGCCTTCGTTGTCGTGGTGCTCACGAAGAGTTGTTGGTGTTTGACCAAGTTGATCTGCGACGTGCCTCCGCTGAGCAGCGCTCACCAGCATTTCATTCCGCTCTCGCCGTCTTGGCCTTGCGCTGGCAGCGCAGGCCTCTCCTGGCATTGGCTTCGACAACTGCAGCTGAATTGCCTGGGCATGCTCCTCTAGCAATCTGGTCGAGGCTCGACCTGCCCGTTTCTCCAAGCGAGCGGCACGCGATCGCAAGGCGCCACAAGGATCCGCCCTCCCGAGTACAGACGCATCCGCGGCTGCTGCAGTGAAATATCAGGGTGCCCGAAAGGGCCACAAGCCTGAGGCCATGGCAGGGTGTCTTGCCCCCCACTTGCAGCTGCTGGCGGGCAGCGGAACCAGGGCCCGCGGGCTCGCTCGAGCCCGCAGGCACAGAGAGGGTGTGGCAGGGGGTCGAGTCGAGAACCAGCTCGACACACGGGCTCGCCCTCCAACGCGACCCAAGCATTAGCTCGGGCATGTCCCCCTACAGGGGAATTTTGGACGAAGAATAAAACATAGTCAAAGCATACCCCCAAATGGTCAAAACATATTTAAAAAGATCGTCCCCAGATTATGTTTTGACTATTTTCGAATTTTCCCCCTGTAGAGGGACAGGCCCGACTTCTCCCAAGCAGACCATACACGTGGCCTGGACCCCCTGCTTCCCTGACCTCGAGCTCGGAGGACAGTGGGCATTGATGGCAGCTGCCCTCTGAAGAACACGTGGTCTCGACGAGGGCATGCTCGGACATCGGGGGCGGCCAAGAGGGGGGCGTCCAGAAGGGGGCGGGGTGCAAATCATGGCCGGCGGCATGTGCGCGGCCCATGGTGGGGGCCGGGAACGTAATGAAATAAGAAGAGGCGCCATGAACTCTGAGGAAATATCATGGCCCATGATATCCAACCTCCCCTAGTCATCATCCCCCTCTTGGCCGCCCCCGAGCTCGGACAGGGTGAGCAGTCTCTCAGCCTGGGCCCGGGCCTGGTCGTCTTCCTGGAGCACGCTCCCGAGCACGGCACACTTCACGCTTCCTGGGCTCTGGCCGCCTGTTTCTCGACGTCCTACACGGCACTTGTCCGGTCCAAGCTTCATCGGAACTTCGACTGCGGCCTCCCTAGAAGGAAGAACGGCATAAACATATAGACTGTTGGCGCTCCGCTCGGATTTCTTGGGTCTGCGCTGGACCCCCCTCCCTGGCGCGCGGAGCGCGCCAAGGGCGGCGCTGGAGGCGCCGCCGGGGGGGCCAGGCGCGGATCCAAGAAATCTGCGCGGAGCGCCGACAGTTTTTATGTTTACGGCGTTGTTTCTGCTTCGACTCTTCGGCCTGTCTGCCAACCAGCATACTGCCCTGGAGCCAGAGCTTTGGACAAAAATTGCGGCTCGGGCCTGCGTGGCGTGGCGCTCGACCTTGTGGCAGAAACCGCGGCAAACTCTCTCAGGCCGCCAAAAGGCTTCTCCAAAAATCCGTGTCCGTTCTGGGTTTGCCAGTGTCGGGTCTACTCGGTCCACGCAGAGCGTCTGCCGAGTTAGTCATACAATGAAGCTCGCCTTCAGGCGGAACTTCATACGTGGATAAGGCATCGGATATCCATTCAACCATGGCCTGAAGCTCAGCACGGCTGCTGGACTGCTTGGGCGCTGGGAGGTTGCCAGAGCGGCCTCGAAAGGCCCCGATCTCCTTCCAGAAAGGTCCGGAGACCTATGAAGCAAGGTGCGCCAACGACAAGGCACAACGACGGATTCGGCAGTCTTTTCGGTGGGCTCCTCCAGAGCCACCCCGCGCCCCCCAGAATCGAGCGCCTGGCTGCACCGAGCAATGATTCGGGTTGGGACTCCCAGGGCCACCAAGACGGAGGAGGGAAGAGGGAGGAGGGGGGAGGGAGGAGGAGGTGGAGGAGAAGGAGGAGGAGGAGGAGGGGGAGGAGGAGGAGGGGGAGGAGGAGGAGGAGGAGGAGGAGGAAGAAGAGGAGGGTCCATTCGCAAGTGATGGGCCCCCTAAGCCAGAAGCACCGGGAATCGTGGCATCCACCTGCCGCCTCCTCTTCCAGGTTGGCCATATCTTGGCAGACTGGTGGCTGGCAATTGGCTCGGCACTGCCAACTCTGGTGGAATGCTGTGTCTGGGACGCCAGCCCTACAGTGAGCACAGATGGCATCTTGATCACTAGGAATGCCGTCTTTGTTTAGCCTCGCGGCCACGTCGAGCCCATGGCCATGGCAATAACGTTGCCTCGGGCTCCTGGAGCAGCCGTAGAGGTCAGTTTGTCGAGGGAGCGGAGGCTCTGCACCCCACACCCCATCACGCCCCCGAGGCAGTGTTCGCCGGCTTGCTTCCAGGCTTGGCTCCAGAGGCAGCTCTGAGCCCACTGGGCGGGGCATTGTGTAGAATCCTTGATCGGCATGGCCTCGGTTGCGGGGCTTTGGAAGGGACTCGTCGGGCACCTTTGGGGCCATGCTGGGGTGATCTTGGAACCACTCGAGGCCGTCTTGGGGCTCCCCCGGGTCCTCTCTCAAGGCCGCCTTCTGCCATCCCTGGGCCACCTTGAGGCCCCACAGGCTCATCGGAAGCCGGGCGAGAAAGCGAAAGCAATCACATGCCACTAAGTTGCCCATTTGCGTGGGTGCCCCTCGGGGGTGTTCGTGGCGGGCTCAGGGGCCACCTCAGACATCAGAACTGCACTGTTGCATTGCTGGGCCATCTGGAAGTTGGAAGTCATCTTCGGCGAACTGGGCCGCACGGTCGACATTCTGAGGCAAACCTGGCCTTGTCCAGCCTCGTTTGGCCTCGCCGCCGGGAGGGGTTGTCTTGCGATGGAGGGGTTGTCTTGCGATTGTCTCTGCGCCCAAGCGTCGCCCCCTTCCTCCCGCGAGGGGGTCAGCGGGACAGTTTGGGCCCAAGGTAACCCGATCTAGCCCACGGTGGCCTCCAAGATGGCGCAATGTGGACAACACTTGTCCAATATGCCCTGGCATGCCTGCCAGAGGCCCCAAGAATGCCAATGCCATCTGATGCTCGAGGCGGCCACCGAGCCTCCCAAGCACCAAGCTTGCTCCAAAACCTGGTATTCTGTTTGGGCGCACGTAGCCCGAATCTGTGTGACGCAGCCAATGGCGCAAGCACTTACGCAACTCATGGCGGGCCCCAGACGTGGCGCACCCCATGGAGACAACACATGGAGAATTCCATGACGCAACCTATGACACAGCCTGTGGCGCGGCCCAGGCCAGAACCCATGGCGAAGCAAACGTCGCAACCTGCGGTGCAACCGACAGCACAAACCGTGCAGCTTCCTGTGGCGCAACCTGTGGCGCACCCCAGGGATGCTGCAATCCATGGCGCAACCTATGTCTCATTGGAGCGGGGGCAGGAGAACTCACTTCAGAGGAGACTCTCACATTTTGTACGGGGCTATGCCGACGTATGCTCGAATCTGGGGCTGGCGGTGGAGCCCAAGCGAAGGGTTGCCTCGTGACTACTTCTATCGTGTGTGCAGTATCATACTTTCGCTTCCCATGGGCCTCCGTGGCCTCAAGATGGCTCTAATGTTGACCTTAGGAGGCCCAAGAGAAGACCAGACGGGACCTGAGGTCCTGTGAGGAACCAAAAAAAGCACTCGAGAAGCCCCCAGTCGGGCGGCCCCCAGAAGCGATTGCTGGGGATCCGACGGCGCAGCCATGCATGATCTTGGACCCCCCTGTCTTTCTCCCTCGTCGGGGATCTTCTGACCCGGGTCAATCCAGACCGGGGTCAGCAGGAAACAAAAAACTGCAATGCAGGAAAAAAACTGCAACGCAGGTCTTCGCAAACCCGGGTCAGCCAATAGGCGCGGCCGCCTCGCGGCCACGAGCGGCTCGCTAACCCGGGTCCTGCAGGATCCTGCAGGATCCTGCAGGATCCGGTGCCGTGGCTGACCCCCGTCTGCATTGACCCCCGTCTCGAGGCTCCCGACCTCGTAAACATGAACATGTTCCGGTGTTGGCCCACTGTAGCTCGCGCGTGTGCCGTTCGCATCACGGGCCAAGCGAGAGGAGATCGCGAGCAGGAAACGAGGAATCCGAGCGGGGAGAGTCGGCAGCGTGGTCGCCAAAGACGGCTGGCACGTGCGCGTCAGCTGCTCAAAACCCTGGCCCATGCCAGAAGTTAAAAAGCACCGGCCACATGGGAGGGAGAAGAGGGGAGAGGCGGAGGACAAGGGGAGAAGGACAGAGACGTTTGCATGGCCCCCCCCCCTTGTTTGATCGATTGACTCCTGGATCGCCCCAGGATGGCCCGGACGGTCCCACAGAGGGCTTCAGAACAGCCCCAGCATGCCTCCGAGAGGATCCCAGAGGTCCCAAGGATGGCCATCGCTGTGGGCTGCTCGGGCTGACTCCGGCTTCGGCTTGGGCAAGCCGCGGTAGAACTGAGCCGTTCTTTATGGTTGACACTCGGGTCTGCTCGGAATGATCCCGACCTTCGGTTTGACGGCTGCCATCCCTCTATCACTGCATGCTCCTGCACTTCCCTGCATAGAGCAAGGCCCAAGATTCGGTTCAGAATGAGCTGGTGGTGAGAGGAGGAGAAGGAGGGCGAGATCCCCAGAGGCCCACGAAAACGAAACAGGACCAAAACGTTCGAACAAAAACGAAAGGGGAAAAAAGGAGGGGGGGAAAAGGGAGAGGAAGAAGGAGAAGAGGGAGGAAGAGGAGGAGGAGGAGGAGGAGGAGGAGGAGGAGGAGGAGGAAAAGGAGCAGAAGAAGCAGGAGAGGGAGCAGCAGGAGCACGACGAGAACAAAGGATAACAGTGGAGTGGAAGAGGGTGGAGGAGGGCGAAGACGAGGAGGGAGGGAAGGGTGGGTCTGTGCCTCAGGCTGGAACGCGACCACCAGCACCAGCAGTACAGCCGCGGGAGCCAGCGCCACGAAAAGCCTGCAAGCAAACGTGGCTCCTCGTCCTCCTGCCACCTACATCCCCATCCCCCTCCAACTCGACACACCTTCCTCGCTCCTGGTGCCTCTTCCCTCCCTCTGCATCCCTTGCTCCTCCACCCTGACTCTTCCCTCCTCCCTCCCTCTCTCCCTTTCCCTCCCCCTCCGCCTCTCCTCCTCCTCCTCCTCCTCCTCCTCCTCCTCCTCCTCCTCATCATCATCATCATCATCAGCATCACCCTCATCATCATCAGCATCATCATTATCACTGAAGTATCATACCTCTCCTCCTCCTCCTCCTCCTCCTCCTCCTCCTTCTCCTCCTCTCTCTCCTCCCCCTTACTTCTTCCTTCTTCCACAATCAAATGGCATGTTACCCCTACAGTTCTGCATTCGTTCTATGGTTCCATATCTACCATTGCTGATCCTCCTCCCTCATCGCTCATTCCTCTTGCATCCTTCCTTCGTCTCTTCCCTCGCCCTCCTCCCTCATAGCTCCTCGCTCCTGCCTCCCCCCTCCTCGACCCTCACCTCTCCTCCCTCCATCTTCGCCTCCATCCTCTCTCTTGTAATACTCCTGGTTCTGCCTCCCTCCTGCCTTCCCCCCCCCCCCCTCTATCCTTCCTCCCTCCTACCTACTCCTTCCCATCCCCCTCCTTCCTCCCTATCCCATCCTCCTCCGCCTCCTTCTCCGCCGATGGCCACGACGGCGAAAGCGACGAAAACGACGGCGACGCCAACGACGACGGCGACGACAACGACGGCGACGAGTGCGCGGCCGAACTCCGATTCAAGTTTTGTCCCCGGACGCCTCCTCGGTCCACCCCGGTCAACGTTTCACCCCAGGCAGAGTCATGACGGCCACGAAGCCCGAAATGTGCCTCGAGAGGCCAAGTGGCGGTAGCGACGACGGCGACGAATGAGGATGAAACAAAATCCCCAGGAGCCTCTAGCCACGAGTTGCGATCCATCGTAGACGACGACCGTGGCACAAGGCCTCAGCCAACATCGAGTCACGATCGCCCAGGGACGACGGCTTCGCGGACGAAGATCGGCATCACGACATTGTTCCTCCATCGGGGGGGCACCTGTCCCGGGGCGGCTGGAGAGTTGGCACCCCCACGGTGGCGAGGCGGGGTGCACATGCCTCCCCGCAGCCCTGGGGACAGGCGGCCCCTCGACGGCGGAAGCTTCTATCGCACACCGCTATCGGCCCGCTAAACTGCAACGACGACGATGATGACGACGACGACGGCGAAGGCGACGGCGACGGCGACGGCGACGGCGACGACGACGACGACGACGACGGCGACGGCGACGGCGACGACCATGGCAACGGCAGACACCTCCTATCCTTTCCCACCGATGTATATACGTCTGCGTAGTGTGGATTCCAGCCCTGCCACACAGAGGCCGGCAGAAAGCTGGCCCACGCGGGGGATGCCCTCCGCCCCCGTTCAGAGAAACGGCGCAGGGTCTACAGGCTTGCTGTCGACATGGGCAGCATAGGCCGTCCACGAGGCAAAGCGCGTGGCAAGAACGGGGCCGGGCGCACATCCCGCGCGAAAGGGCGAAATCTACGTTGTGCCCATCGCACTTAAGGACCACATCCCAGAAAGAATTTCGAGCACCCAGAAAAGTATCGAACAAGTGTCGAGCGAGTATCGCCTCCCAGGGCACGACACGTGAAAACCCTCCAGCTTGGGTGCTTCTCTGGTGCTCGACATTCGATGTTGTGATCAAGGCTCAAGTAGGCTGGGACATCATCAGGCGAAGTGTCGCTCTCGCCTCGGTGCCGCACTCCTGTCTCCAGACAACGAAGCTCCCGCTGGGGCGCGGCGCACGCGTCTCGCTCGCCACTGCGCCCGCGCGCCACTGGACGAAGACGTCGCGCGCTCTTCTTCGGCGCAGCGCAGAGAACTCTCGCCTGGAAGCTGGGCCCTCCCGCCTCGGCGCGGCGGATGTTTCTTCCGCCGCTCGCCAGTGTCTGGCCCCTCGCGCCCCGGGCGACTTGCCGCCCTCGCCCGGAAGCTCCGTGCGCACCTCGCTCGGGTGGTGGCGTTCCCGCGCGGGCGCCGCGCACGGCTCGCTCGGCGAATCGCATGGCAGCAGCGGCAGCGGCAGCGGGGCCGCTCGAGAGCGGGAGAAATGCCGACTTCGCCCAGGCCCCGCGCGATTTGCGAATGCATGCGGCCGTAGTGATTCGACGCTCCGCATGCTCCGCTCCGCGCTCATCGGACATTTTGCAGCTCCCACCCCCGCGCGGCCCGCGTAGTTTTCCCTTCGCAAAGCCGTCGGAATCGGGACCGCGCGCGAGCGCCTTCCGTTTGCAAGGGTGGAGCGCGTTCCAATCCTAGTGGACATCAGGTTGCGCGCCGCAAATGGTTCTTATATCATGAGGCGGGAGGGTGGGAATCGGCGGGGCCTCATGACTCGCTCGACCTGGCTCGCCCGCCTTCCCCTGCTAATTACCCCCTCCCACTCCGACGACGACGGCGACGACAAGAGAGAACGACAGCGAGAACGGCGACGCCGACGACGCCGACGACGACGCCGACGGCGAGAAACCCACCTGGTGGCCCTCGGGCCATAACTCAGCCTCCAGGCGGCTGCTCGCCAGGACCCAGGCACCCCGGCCACGCTCTCGGCGAGCAGCCGACACGCTGGAAGGGGCGCGCCCCGAGGCGGGGAGGCCAACGAGCACCAGCCAAGGCGCCCGAAAACCTCAGACCCTCGGGCAAAAAACGACCACGACCACGACGACCACGACATCGACGTCGACGACGACGACGACGACGACGACGTTCGGCCCAAATCCGTTTATGGTGGTCCCAGGACATGATGACGGGTCCCGGAAGCCGAAGTCGAGGAAATACGCCCTGACCGGAAAAGGCATATCGTTAGAGTTGTGGGGAGGGCCGCCACGACGACCACGACCACGACGCCTACGACGACCACGACCACGACCACGACGACGACGACGACGATGAGGACGACCACGACCACGACCACGACCACGACGACGACGACGACGACGACGACGACCATGATAACGACAATGACGACGACCACGACGTCGACGACGACGACGAAATCGACCACGACGACCAGATCCACGACGACCACGACGTCGGCGAAGGCCTGCCAGCGGCCAAGCCCCTGCTGGCGGGGCCCGGCGCGCTGCCGCGCCCAGGGCCGCCCCGGCGGCGCCTCGTCGTCGTCGTCGCCGTCGTCGTCGCCGCCGTCGTCGTCCTCGCCGTCGCGGCCGTCGCCGCCGTCCTTGTCATCGTCCTCGTCCTCATCCTCGCCATCGTCATCGTCATCGTGGTCGTAGTCGTCGTCGCCGTCGACGTCGTGGCCGTCGTGCTCGTCGACGTCGTCGTCGACGTCATCGCAGTCCTCGCCGACATCGTCGTCGTCATCGTCGTCATCGTCGTCGATGCCGTCGTCGTCGTCGTCGTCGACGTCGACGTCGTGGTGGTCGGGGTCGTCGTGGTCGTCGTCGTGGTGGTGATGGTGGTCGTCGTCGTCGTCGTCGACGTCCTCGTCGTGGTCGTCGTGGTCGTCGTGGTCGTCGTCGTCGTCGTCGTTTCTGTCGCCGTCGCCGTCGTCGTCGGGGGGGTGGGAGTGGGAGGGAGGAGGAGGAGGTTGAGAACGGCGGAGGGCGGAGGAGCAGAAGGGAGGAGGGAGGTGGAGGAGGAAGAGGAGGAGGAGGAGGGGAGCAGGAGGAGTAAGTGAGAAGAGGAGGAGGAGGAGGAGGAGGAGGAGGAGGAGGAGGAGGAGAAGGCGAAGCAGGAGGAGGAGGAGGGAGGGGGAGGAGGGGGAGAAGGATGATGATGATGAGGAGGAGGAAGAAGACCAGTGTAAAACCAAGGGTCACCAACGATGTTGGGATTAACCCTCCCTCCAAGCTCCCTCTTCATAGGTCCCTGCAACGTTTCATTTCCATTGAGGGAACTGCCTCGTTGGAAGACAACCGTTTGAAGATCCTGAAGCATGCCAAAACATTGTTCTCGGGATTTCAACGCCACGGGTCAACCTGACTTTTGCGTCTTGACGATCCGGAATCCTGCCAGAACGCCAGTTTGGGGGCTTCAACACCGAGAACCAACATAATTAATTCGTTGCACCCGTATAATCATGAACCCTTCCCAAACACCAGTTCTGGTACGTTGATCATGGGTACCCGTGAAATTCTTGCACATGTTGAAAACGAATGTGCGCGGCGCTCAGGCGAGAGCCACATGTTGAAAACCACCCGCCCTCACTCCGCGCAACTCTTGCACAGCTTTTGAATAAAAAAATGTGCGCGGCGCTAAGGCGAGAACCACATGTTGAAAATCACCGGCCCTCAATCCGTGAAGCTCTTGCAAATGTTTGAAGCGAATGTGAGCGGCGCTAAGGCGAGAGCCAGATGATGAAAACCAACCGCCCTCGATCTGTGAAACTCTTGCAAATATTTAAAAACGAATGTGCGCGGCGCTAAGGCGAGAGCCACATTTTGAAAACTACCCGCCCTCCGTCGGCGAAACTGTTGCCACGCTGTAAGCTTCGGAGCCATAAATGGGCAGGAAGTCTCAGGCGAAACGCCCAGCCCGCCCTAAAAAACTTGCCTCGGGGTGCGACAGGGAGAAAGAAACTATTCATAAAGAAAAGGAATGGAGTAGGAGTAGGAGCCGAGGGACGCCGTGTCCCGAAAGAAAAGGAATGGAGGAGGAGGAGGAGGAGGAGGAGGAGGAGGAGGAGGAGGAGGAGGAGGAGGAGGAGGAGGAGGAGGAGAGAGAGGAGGCGGAGAGGAGGAGGAGGACGAGGAGGAGGAGGAGGAGGAGGAGGAGGAGAGAGAGGAGGCGGAGGAGGAGGAGGAGGCGGAGGAGGAGGAGGAGGAGGAGGAGGAGGAGGAGGAGAGAGGAGAGGAGAGGAGAGGAGGGGCGCGTGGCAGTATCCAGAGGGCACGCGTCTCCTGACAGGCAGGGCGCCAGGCGCCCGGACGCGGCGGGTGCTGCTGCAGCGAGCGCGGCGCGAGGGGCGGCGGGCTCGGACGAGGCGTCCGAGACAGGGCAAAAGGGCGGCACAGTGCACATAGGGCCACAGAGGGAGGAGCGCCAAGACTGGGGGCTGGAGGGAGAGAGCCAACATCTGCATGAGCTTTCGGAGGTCCGTGCGGATCTCTTGGGTCGGCTCTGGAAGCCGCCTCCCTTGCCGCCTCGACAGCTTCTGTTTTTGTAGCGTGCCTCGTGGTCTAAGGAACTCGTTCGCCGAAAGTCCAAGGCCCGATGGAGATGCCCCGAACGAAAATCAAGACACGGTGGGGCGCCCAAGCACGAAGAACACAAGGGCACCCCTCCAAAGCTAGGGTTGAGGGGCACCGACAGGCGGGAACCAGCACAGGGGGGGGAAACATCGAAATCGAATCAGCGATGCATCGCAGATAGATCGGCGATACGCCAACGACAGCCAAACCAGGCGTTTCTGGACGGGGTGGGTTACGAGGCCCCCGTCGGCGACCCGTGGGCGATTGAGCCTCGATGCTGAGCCTCTCCCCTCCTGTCGTTGCTCACGATGATCAACCCACGGGCTAGCGGCAGTTGCGGCGGCGGCCGCAGCTGCACGCGAAGGCTGCCGCGGCAGCGGCGCGGGAAGTGGCTGGAGCCCAGCGGTGATAAGCAAATGTTCCACCGCCAGTACCATATGTAGGATGGGGCAGAAGGGAGAGTGAGGAGGTTCTCCTCCTCCTCCTCCTCCTCCTCCTCCTCCTCCCGCTCCTCCTCTTGCTCCCTCCTCTTGCTCCCTCCTCCTCCTCCTCCTCCTCCTCCTCCTCCTCCTCCTCCTTCCTCTCCTACCTATGGTAGTGGTGGTGAAAAAGGGGCCCCTCAAGCGGCACTCCGGAGAGGGCGGGGGCGAGGCGGGAGGGCGGCGGCCGCGCGGGAGGGGGCCTCCGGCAGGGGGCGGGGGCCCCAGCGCGCCCGAGCGGGGCGGAGGCCAAGAGAACCAGCGTGTGGGTGGGCTGTGGGGAAGGGATCATGAAGCCCTTGGAGACGGGGCGTTAGTAAGCGGGCCGGTCTCGCTTGAGGCCCCTTCACTACCGCCCAGTTTACTAACGCCCTGTTTGCAGGGGCTTGGGATCAAGGGCCTTCCCTTCGACTCGATTGGTGTTCCCCTTCTGGCGGCTCTGTGGGGCGCTGTTGGGCCGTCTTGGTCGGAGAAGGGGGGGGACTCACGACCCCCGGCCCAGGGGGTGGCGACCCTCCCAAGACCCCCCCCCCTTTGGAGCGGGGAAGGGGTCAAGGGGAAGAGGCTTCCCTCCGCCTCGAGCACCGTCACGTTGTTCCATTTTCGTCTGGCTGCTCGCCGCAGGCTGGCCGAGCGCGCAGGTGGCCCAACGGCATCGAGGCAGCGCTCGCGCGGCCTGCTCAACGGCACCTCGTCCGTCGCCGAGCCGCGTTCCACTGGTCGCAAGAAGGGGGGCGAGGAGCCCCGCTCTGGGGGCCCCAAGACGGCCGAAGATGGCCCTACGAGGACTCCAAGATAGCCAGCGAGGGCCCCGATTATGTTTCGAGGAATATATCTATATATATATATATGTATATACACACGCGTTCGTGTTGTCAATGCTTGTTGCCAGTCCCATGATTTGCTCCTGGGATGTCCAGAGATCGCTTCAAGACAGCCCGCATGACCCCCGAGATTGCCCCAGACGGTCTCCGAGTGGCCACACAAACCTCAGAGGCGCCGCCAAGATCGCCCAGGATGGCCCGACGGCGCCCCGAGGCGAGCAGGCTCCCAAGGTTGCCGGATGCCGCAAAGGTGGCCCGAGGGCCCAAGATGCCCCAAGTGACTACCTAATTACCAAATCACCCCAACCCAACCTGAAGACCCGCATTTCGGGTTGGTGGGGGTACGGGTTCCATGTGTTTTTCAATGCTCATCGACATCCCCCCCTGGGAATGGAGGGCTAATTGAGGCCTTCGGGTTGGGTTGGGGTGGTTTGGTGGGTGGTGACCAAGGTGCTCCAAGAAGGCCCCCCAAAAAAAACTGCCGCAGGCGTGGCTGCCAGATGTGGCTCACCCTGGGGGGGGGGGCCGCGGTAGTGGGCGCGGGCCCTCCCACAAACGGGGAAGGGGCAGGGCCCCCCAAAGAAAAGCCCCAAGGGCGCCCCCAGAGGCCCCCCCTAGAGGGCTCAACGCGGCAAGCATCACTGATTGCCCCTTATGCTTTTTCGACGTTTCTCGCGCTCCCGCGCGTTCGGGCTCCCGACGCTCCAAGATGGCCCCCAGAAAAGCCCCCCAGACCGCCCCAGGGCGGCCCAGGAGTGAAGAGGCCCCAGGGCACACAGATACATACACACAAACAAAAATATTCCCTATGTTTCCCCATGTTTTCTGGGCTTCTGTCTTCCCCCCCACTTCCCATAGTTTCCCATATTTTCTGGGGAATCGAAGATTATAACTGTGCCTGCGTGTTTCTTGTCCTCCCGAAGGAGGCCCCGCGAACTGGGGCGAGAACGGCCCCTGCCTCGCACCGCGCCGCCCTCGCCGGCGACGGCACCCGCCGCAGGACTCCCGGGACGCCCAGGAGGTCCCTCCTCCCTCCTCCTCCCTCCTCCTCCTCCTCCTCCTCCTCCTCCTCCTCCTCCTCCTCCTCCTCCTCCTCCTCCTCCTCCTCCTCCTCCTCCTCCTCCTCCTCCTCCTCCCTCCTCTCCTCCTCCTCCTCCTCCTCCTCCTCCTCGTCGTCGACGAGGCGGGAGGGGCGCGAGGAGCGCCGGCGCGCGGACGACTCTGGAAACGCGCGGACGTCGACGCCTCGTTGCGTCTGCCGCCTCCATGGAGCAGGGAGCGACCGCCCCGGCAGCCCTGCAGGCCTGCCACGGCATCTTCTTGGAGCCCCCAAGACGTTCTGAGATCGCAAACTTCGTGTGGAAGAGGGGCCCGATGTGTGAAAACAAAGCAAGCCCAGCCAGCAATGCTCTGAGAGCACTTCGTGCAGACCCCTAGAGGCTCTTCGAACACTCCTCTTTTCACTGCACCGGCCTTGCAGACGTGCTGCAGCGGATTTCTGCGTGGATTTCTGCGCAGATTTTTGCCCGAAGCGGCGAGCGAAAAAAGAAGTGAATTTCGCGTGGATTCCTTTTGGTCTTCATTTTTGGCCAAAGAGATCCGCACGAAATTCACCTCGAAATCCGGAACGAAATTCTCCAGGACACCCAGGGCCCACCCGATCGCTTTCCGAACGAAATCCGCTCTGCGATGTTGGCGCCATGACTCTTTGGTGACTACCTACCAGACCACCCCAACCCAACCCGAAGACCCGAATCTGACCCGAATTTCGGGTTGGGGGGGGGGGGGTACGGGTTCCGTGTGTGTTCTTTCCATGGTCCCCGACCCCCCCCCCACTAGAAATCGAGGATAAATCTGGGCCTTCGGGTTGGGTTGGGGTGGTTTGGTGGGTGGTGAAATTTGGAGGGCCTGCACAGGCAAGCCGGGACGCGTCGCCACTGCTGGAGCCTCCCGCCGGCGGGCCCTCCGCCGACCCTCCGCCGGCGCGCCCTCCGCCGCTTGACTCCCGCCGGCTCCCGCGCCGGCCTCCCGCCCGGGGCAAGACGCGCCGACGCCGAGCCCAGGCACGCAGCAGCCGCAGGAGAGAGAGAGAGAGAGAGAGAAAAAAAAACAAAAAACAACAAAAAAACAAAAAAAAAAAAAAAAAAAAAAAAAACGAGCGAGAGACTTAGAAAAAGAAACAACCACATAAACATAAACTTTTGGCGCTCCGCGCGGATTTCTTGGATACGCGCCTGGGCCCCCCCGGCGGCGCCTCCGGCGCCGCCCCTGGCGCGTTCCGCGCGCCAGGGAGGGGGGCCCAGCGCAAATCCAAGAAATCCATGCGGAGCGCAAAAAGTTTATGTGTATGGCGCTTTTTCTTTTTCGAAGACTGGCCAGAGCGTAGACATCAGCTGGCCAGGTGGGCCCCGCGCCGATCGCAGAAGTCCGCGCGGATCCCTGGGAAAGTGTGCTCCCTCGGTGGCTCGAAGATGGGGCCCTGAGGCATGGGGTCCCGAGGGTAGGAAGCGGGCCATTGTCTGAGGCACCTCTTCCTCAGGACCCCCATCCCTCAGGACCCCTGGCTACCTACCGAAGCACCCCGACCCAACCCGAAGACCCGAATTCCGGGTTGGGGGGGGGGTATGGGCTCCATATGTGTTTTTGTCGATGTTCCCCGACGCCCCCCCCACTGGAAATGGAGGAGGGCAAATCGGGACCTTCGGGTTGGGTTGGGTTGGGGTGGTTTGGCGGGCGGTGAACCCCATCTTTGAACCACCGACTTGCGCAGGTTTCTGTTCCGCGGCCCCACCGGCGGGCTCCGCAGTCCAGGCCACAGCATCGATGCGAGGTGCCGCGGGCAAGCGCAGCGGCAGAGTGCGCGGCACGACAGGCCGCCTCGGGGGGAGCGGCCGCGGAGTCCACCTCAGCCCAGGAGGTGCGCGAGCTCCCACTGGAGCCAAGCTGGCCGCGGATGACGGCAGGAGGGGGAAGAGGGAAGAGGAGGCGGAGGAGATGAGGATGAGGGCGCAGGAGGAAAGAGAGAATGAACAGAAGGAGAGGAAGAGAGGAGGAGATGGATTTCGAAGCCGGAAGAAAGCAGGAGGAGAGGAAGATGAGAAGAAGGACCAGGGAGGAGGAAGAGGTAAGGAGGGAGGAGGATGAAGAGAATGGAGAGGAGAAGGAGAAGGGGAAGAAAGAGAGGGAGGAGGAGAAGGAGGGGGAGGAGCCTGAGCGACCGGGCGAGGACGAAGAGGGAAGACAGACGAGGGAAGAGGAGGAGGGAGAGGCAGGCGCAGGAGGAGCAGCGCCCGTACCAGCACGATGAGATGCAGGACCAGGGGGACGAGGTGGAGGAAGGACCATGAGGGAGGAGAGTGGGAGGAGGATGAGGATCAAGAGGATCAAGAGGAGGAGGAGGAGGAGGAGGAGGAGGAGGAGGAGGAGAAGGGTCAGGAGGAGGCGGAGGAGGAGGAGGAGGAGGAGGAGGAGGAGGAGGAGGCGAAGGCGGCCGACGGCCTCTCCCAGCAGGGGCTGCACTGGTCCGCGAATTCCGAGGCCTCGTGGGCCAGGAGCGTCGAGCTCGTGTCGGCCGCCTCGCCGTGGGGCCCTTTGTCCCCGACGCCGGCCATGGGCCCCGCTCGGCAAATTGGCAGTGGCACGGCGGAGGCGCCGGACGAGGCTCCCCCCTCCCCCCCTGCAGCCATCGTGCTGCCGCGAGACGAGGGGCGCGCGGAAGGGACGCAGGGGCGCATCTGGCCACGACGAGCCTCAGCCGCGGCGAGGCATCCCGACCTGGATCTGAGTGACGGCCCGAAAACCAGAGCCCCCCTCCTGACCCCCAAAAGCGGTTCTTGTTTCAGCGTCTGCGCTGTAGACCCCCTCGCCCGAGAGCCCGCACCATACGTCCCGCGCGCCGAGACCGTCCCCAACACCATCCACCCTCCCGAGGCTCCGCGACAGACAGTCTGCCCCACTCACCCGAACGGGGGGTCGTCAAGGTGGGGCAGGGCGGTTAGAAGAAACTTGCTCTGGACGGCCCACCGGACAGATCGTGCGCATCCAGCTGGGTCCGTTCCCTAACCCCCCCTGGGGTTGAGCCCCCCTCTACAGAGGCCCAAAAACAGTGGCAATGTCGCAACAGGTCGGGCGACCCCATCAGCGTGGCACTGTTGAAGAACGGTCAGCTTCTCGCGCGCAAAAAAAGCAAAAAATAACACGCACAGTCTGAAAGATGCCGCGCGTGTCCCTGATGCGTTGTGCCACTCCCAGAGAGCCCACCCCGCCTCCTGCGCAGCCTGGAGGGGCGAGGAGCCCAGCGGCTCCTGCGACGGGACAGAGAGGAGGCTGCGAGAACCCGGGGCCCTGCCGGAGGCCTCGGTCACCCGATGTCGCGGATCGCGCCCCGCGATGAGCGATGATCTTCGATCCCTCGCGCCGCGCCCTTGGGTCCTTGGAGAGTGGCAGCCGCTCTGGCCCAGACCACGACGCGCAGAGCGCGGGCATCCTCCGCGCCCCCACGGGTGACCTGGGCAATTGCTGTGTTCGCAGACGAGCGGGCAAAGGTGCCTGCTCACGTGTGTGCGTGCTTTGCTGAGTGACAGCCGCAAGTCGTGGAGCACGTCCGTGCACAGACGAAAGCAGCCTCCCAAGTCACACCCAGCTTTGGGCTTCACGCGATGCGAGAGCGTGCTCATTTGTGTGTGCGTGAAAGTATGTGCGTGGGCGTGTGCGTGTGCGTGTCCGTGTGCGTGTGCGTGTTTGTGTGTGTGCGTGTTTGTGTGCGTGTGTGTGTATGTGTGCGTGTATGTGTGTGTGTGTGTGTGTGTTTGTGTGCGTGTCAGTGTTCGTGTGTGCATGTACGTGTATGTGTGTGGCTTAACTCGCACTTGTATGCCCTACACATGCCCTATCCGCCAGCGCAGTCATTATGCCAAGCCGCCGACGCAAAAAACGTGTGTGTGTGTGCGTGAGTGTGGGAGAGTGCGTGTGCGTGTGCGTATGCGCGAGTGCGTGTGCGCGTGTGTGGGTGTGTGCATGTGTGCGTGTGTGCGTGCTTGCGTGTGTGTGTGTGTACCCGCGTGTGTGTGTGTGTATGTGTGCGTGTGTGCGTGTGCGCGCGTGTGTGTATGTGTGTGTGTGCGTGTGTGCGCGCGTGTGTGTGTTTATGTGAGTGCGTATGTGTGGGCGTGTGCGTGTGCGTGTGAGTGAGCGTGTGCGTGTTTGTGAGCGAGCTTGCGTGCGTGCGTGTTTGTGTGTGAGCGTGTTAGTGTATGCGTGTGCGTGTGCGTGTGCGCTTGTGCGCGTGTGCGCGTGTGTGGGTGTGTGAGTGTGTGAGTGCGTCGGTGTGTGCGTGTGTGTGTGTGTGTGTGTATGTGTACCCGCGTGTGTGCTTGTGTGTCTGCGTGCGTATGTGCTTGTGGGCGTTTGTGCGTGTGTGCGTGTGTGTGCATGTGTGTGCGCGTGTGTGCGTGTGTTTGTGTGTGTGTGGATGTGTGCGTGTTTGTGTGTGTGTGTGTGTGTGTGTGTGTGTGTGTGTGTGTGTGTGGGGGGGGGGGGGGTGCGTGGGCGTGAGCGTGTGCGTGTTCGTGTGCGTTTGCGCGTGCGTGTGCGAGGGAAAGAGAGAATGTGTGTGCTTTGTGTGTATGTGTGTGTTTCGTGTGTCCGCTTTTGTTCGGCCAGTCTAGAGCTACGTCGGGCCGTGCGGCCACGATTGCCCCCCCAGGATCCTCTCCAAATGAGGCCAAGACAGAAATCTTCTATCTTCGAGGCGCGATCCCATACATCCGGCGATGAGATTTGTTTGATCCACGGGGCCCGGAGGTCCAAACACCTTGCCCGAAGTGGTTTTCTGTTCTCGACCCATTTCAAGTGAACCCTATGCGCGAAGACAGCCCCCAGAGGTTGAAAAGTAAGCGCGACAAGCTTGACATTCCCTACAATAGCAAAAGCAACAACGGCCTGAAAACGCTGGTTGTGTGGGAACGCTATCAGGGTCATCGATCCTCGAGATGTGCCTTATCCTCACGCCCCCTGCGTGAGCCGAGAACCTCGCCATCCGAGCACATGGCCGACCCTCGAAACCCTGCATCCAGACATGTTAACATCCATGGATTCGTCGCGCGGTCGCCAAATCCATGGATCGGGGGAGGTGCCCTCCCCAAAATGCAGCCAGTGCCGCCTCGTCCGGCGGCCAACATCCGCGATTTCCCATGGAAACGGGACCCGCCGCTGACCCACGCCCCCTTGACCCATGCCTGCGATCGCCGGAGTTTTCACGACGCGATCATGTCTTGGTCTTGTTGAGCAGGGACCGACCGTCGAGGCATTCCTATCGTCTTACCACGAAATGTTCTTAGAACCCCTAAATGTTCTAATAATCAAAACGACGTTCTTAGAACATGAACCCGATGTGATAAAACAAGACAGACTCCGCCAGAGATGTACCAAGAACATGTCCTGGAAACCACAAAAGGTTCTTCGAACATTGCTCGGTAGGGCTATAGGCGAGCCAGGACGCCTCGCCACTGCTTGGTCTTGAGCCCCGAGGCAAGGCTCCCCCCGCCCTGGCCCGGCGCCCCCCCCGCGCGCAGGTCCGGGCCGCTCCGCGGCCCTCCCTCGGGCCAAGATGGCTGCGGGCGGGCGCCGCCGTGCGCCGAGGGGGGCGGGCGGGGGCCCTCCCGGCGGGGGCGCGGGGGGCCGCTCGCGGTCGACCCCAAAAAGAAGCCCTGACCCTTTGGGGGGGAGGGACCTAAGTCAGGAGGGCCAGCAACATCCAGGGATATAGGTGGGGGGCGTGATCGGCCCGCCAAAAAAAACCTGACCCTTTGGGGGGGGACCTCAGTCAGGAGGGCCAGCAACATCCAGGGATGTAGGTGGGGGGCCTCTCGAGATCGACCAAAAAAAAGCCCTGAACCTTTTGGGGGGGGGAAACCTAAGTCAGGAGGGCCAGCAACATCAGGGATACAGGGGGTCCTCTCGTGATCGGCCAAATTGCACCAGGGAAGAACTCCAATCAGTGGATGGTTGAACTGGGATTTAAAAAGAGATCGATAAGGAGATCGACTGGGAACCCGGGAACCCAAAACCTACCGAGATCGGACTGGAACCAATGACCATGGTCTGGGTTCCCGGGTTCCTGCAGGAACCCGGGAACCCAGAACCGGGAACCCGAGAACCCAACCGGCCACTAAAGTCGGCGGGAAACTTTCGCCAACTCTTTCGATTTCTGCCAGGACCCCTTCAGTCCCTGACCCTTTTGGGGGGGACCTAACCCAGGAGGGCCAGAAACATCAGGGCTATAGGGGGGGGGCCTTTTCTGCCGACGTGTCAGACCAGGCCACCCAGAAGTTAATGTCATCCCTAGTGCGAAGACGGGGGCCCCTGGGGGGGGCCACCTCTGCATCGCGTCATCAGGGGTAGGGGCGCTTTGGTCCTCGATGATCTCGGCGGAAGGGCCTCCAGGACGGCAGGGCAGCAGCAGTCAGCACCGCGCCGGGGGGACTCGGACCGCACCGGACTGCGCGTCGGATCGGGGCGCATCGGCACGCGGGGTCGGAGCCGGAGCGAAACGGGCGTGCCAGGATGCACAAAGCCACCGCATGCAAGAAGCATCGGGCCGCATGGGCTCGTCGAAACATCGAAATCGAATTGGAGAGGGCCGGCCAGAACCGACATCGGATTGGATTGCTCGGATCGGAACGGACCCTGGCAGGGGACGACGCGCATGTGCTTGTCAGCTGGCGATGTCCTTCGATCTCGGCCTTCGAGTGCCGTGCCCGGGCCCCAGAACCTGAGGTCGAGCTTCGATGATGGTGGGATATTTGACGATTCGTTTTGAGAACTCGTATGTTTCGCAGACGTAGTGCGGTAGGCGTCGCTTGTCTGTCTTAATAGCTTTAGGCCTGCAGCTGCAGTGTTACTATCAAAACACTTGGCGGAACCAACGTCGTGTCGATACCAGAGGGCTGCATCTCCATGATAATCGGGCAAAGTAAACTTGCCTCCTTGAGGCGTGTGTGGGCGTCGGCCAGAACCGAGATCGGACTGGATTGGAACGGACCCTGGCAGGGGACGACGCGCATGTGCTTGTCAACTGGCAACGTACTTCGATCTCGGCCTTCACGTGCCGTTCCCAGGCCCCAGAACCTGAGGTCGAGCTTCGATTACTGCGAAAGATTCAACGATTCATTTTGAGAACTCGTTTTTTCGCACCCGTAGTGAGGTATGCGCAGCGTGTCTGTCTTAATAGTTTTAGGCCTGCAGCAGCTGCAGTGTTACTATCAAAACACTTGGCGGAACCAACGTCGTGTCGATACCAGAGGGCTGCATCTCCATGATGATCGGGCAACGCAAACTTGCCTCCTTGAGGCGTGTGAGGGCGTCGGCCAGAACCGAGATCGGATTGGATTGGAACGGACCCTGGCAGGGGTCGACGCGCATGTGCTTGTCAACCGGCGGTGTCCTTCGATCTCGGCTCTCGAGTGCCGTTTCGGGGCCCCAGAGGAGGGGTGCAGCTACACGATGATCGGGCCACGCAGGCTTGCCTGCTTCAGGCGTGTGCGGGCGTCGGCCGCGCCTCGCGAGCGGGGGCGAGCCCGATTGCCTTCGGGCGTCTGCGAGAGCGGGCGACGCCACGATTGCTGCGCACGCTCCTCCTCCTCCTCCTCCTCCTCCTCCTCCTCCTCTTCCTCCTCCTTCTCCTTATCAATTTAGATGGCGCAGCGTTTCACCCGTTGCTGTCTGTGATTGCTTGACCTTGTTTTCCTGCCCACGCGCTGGACGGCGTATGGCTTGTGAGCGAGTGAGTGTGAGTGAGCGAGGGCCCAACTCGGTAACCCCACTCACTGATATCAGGCCGAAGGCGAAGCCAAAGTTTCTAGAGCCCAGGCCGTTGATGCCTCAGCCGAATCACTGGGGAGGTCTACGCATGGACAGCGGCATTGCCCCGCCCCTGCCTGACGGGAGGCGCTGTTGATCTGCGGGGGCGGATCCTGCTTGAAGGGGCGGAGGAGCGGGTGCGAATGGAGGGGGGGGGCGACAGAGGGGGGGGAAGGAGTGTAGGAATGGAGGGGCGCGTGGCATTCTCGTATTCGTTCGCGGCAGCTGACCGCTGGGCTTTCCCTGCTTGCCCGCGGCGCAAGCCCTTGGCATGCTGCTCTCTGGCGGCGGTGCGTGGAGGTTTCGCGACGTCCGCCCGTCCCGCGGCCGTGTGGGACCAGAGCAGTCGGAGATAACATTCCTTCCACATTCCGCTCAACCTCCGATCTTGCGCTCCATCTCTCGCTCTCTCTCTCTCTCTCTCTCTTTCTCTCCCCCTCTCTCGATCTATACATATGTATACATGTATAAATCTATACGTACACATGTATATGCGTTCCTCTTCTCTCTCGCACGAGTTGCTTGTTATGTTGTGTCTGATTCTCGTTCGCGTTCCCCCTTTCTATCTCACTTTCTTTGTTTTGTTTCTCTCTCTCTCTCTCGCTATCTTTTTTCCTCATGGCTCCCCTGGGCTCCTTGGGCTCCTCGTGGGCCTTTTGGACCTCTCAAGCTGCCTTGGACTCCTTCGGCCCCCCTTTGGGCCTCCTGGACCTCTCGGGTCCTGTTGGGCCCCTCAGGCTTCTTGGTCCCGGAGGACCCACCTTGGGTCACTTGGTCCACGAGGATCCCTCAATTGGTGGGGATGTTGGTATTGGTATTGGTGGTCATGGTGGTGATGATGGTGATGGCGGTGGACGTGACAGGGATGGCGATGGTGGTAACGGCGCCAGTAGAGGGAACTCCGCATCAAGGCTCCTTCTACTGGGCAGTAGGGACACAACCGACATGCTCTGAAACCCATTGTAGCAGCAGCTCCCAGACGACAGGATCGTCCGAGTAGCATCTGTGTGCCGCGGTTTTCCTTCATGGGTTCCGGGGGCCGCGTGGTCTTCGCGTGGGCTCTTCTCGGGACCATCCTGGTATCATCACGGGCCTCTCTGGCCAATGGGTCGGCTCTAGGATTCATCCTGTTGGGCTCCTGGTTTTGACACCGTCCGCGATGTGCACACCATGAGGAAGTCGCGAGCGAGAGACTCGTCTGCGTGCGCATCATCATCACTGTCGTCATCATCGCGGTCACCGCCATCACCAACACCATCACACCACGACCAAGATCATGCTAATGCTCGCCATCATCTTCATCGTCAGTACCACTGCAACCGCTCATCAGCATCATCATCATCAGCAGTATCATCATCATCATCATCATCATCAGCATCATCATCATCATCATCATGATCATGATCATGATCATGATCATCATCATCATCATCATCATCATCATCATCATCGTCATCCTCATCATCATCATCATGATCATGATCATGATCATCATCATCATCATCATCATCATCATCATCATCATCCTCATCATCATCATCATCATCACCATCAAGATTATCAACATCATTAGCATCAGCATCATCATCACCAGCATCAACATCATCATCATCAACAACATCACCGTCGGCATCCTCGTTCTCATCATCATCCTCTTCCTCATCACCATCACCTCCACCATCACCATCACCATCATAATCGTCCACCACCACCATCATCATTGCCAATATCATCATAATCTTCATCATCAGCGTGACTACTGGCCAATGCTCGTGCAAGTCGAGGGGGTGCCCCGGGGCAGAATGCAAGGATGTCTCGGCCAATGCGCTGCCAATTGCAGACCGTGGGCTTGTCGGGAGACCGCCCAACGTCCCACGTCAAAGCCGGCCTCTGGGCATCGCTCGGACGTCCATTCCCTATGTTTTTTGTTGGTTTCGTGCGTGGCTTTTTCGCCAAATGTCACTTGGCGAAAAAACCACGCAAATGATCAAGGATGCGGCAATGATCATTTGCGTGGGAATGATCAAGGTATCATCCTTGATCATTTGGCAAATGATCAAGGATGCTCCTCGCTGGTCCTCGCCGAAGGAAAACTGCAAACGTTCGAGCGATGCCAAGGCCTCGAGATTCCCGCTTCCGCCCCGCCTCGCCAGCAGTGGAGGCCCAGCTTCGCGCCTGCAGGCATCTCATATTCCAGGCGCGCCTGCGGGCATTTCATGTTCCCAGCCTCGCTGCGTCCGCGAGGCGGGCGCCCTCGGCCTTCGGCACAGCGTGCCTCTTGTGCTTTTGGGCGATGGCGGCGGTGCGATGGGGAGGCTCGGGTGCCAGCCCAAGCACAACACCTGCATCAGCGCCGTTCGCGCCTTACGTGCGGCAGATCGCCAAGTCTCCAGGTGCAGGCAAGCAGATGGAGGCCGAGGTGAATTTCAGATCCACCGACGCGGCGTAATTACGAGTCAAGCCGTTCATCGACGTCAGCTCTGGCTCGCGGAGGGATGCTCGCGCCAACGTCGGCACGTTCAGTTCACTTCGCACCTGCTTGGACACTGGCCCCGCTGCCGTTCGCGATGCTCGACTCCAGCTCTCGCGACTCCTGCTCCGACACGTCTGACACACACACACACACACACACTCCCAGTGCTCAACACGATGCGCTGCGCATCGCCCCGACTGTTGTGGGACGGGAGAACCGAGAGCAGAAGGCGATGGAGGACTTCGAGCTCGACCACGTCGAGCAGGGGGAGGCGCACGACG